GGCGGGGAACATTCCCATAAAATTTCAGCTCTCTAGCTTTTCTGGTTCGCGAGTTATCAGCTTCCCTGTAAAAAACTTTGGCGGGGTCTTACGGGAATACCGTGCGGGAAAGACTCGTAAAAAACTTTGGCGGGGTTTTACGTGGATACCACGCGGGAAAGACCGCCCATTTTGGGGATAGGAGCCCGTACGTGCATGTAGATTAAGTCCCCAAAGTTTCAGCTCCGTAGCTTTTGCCGGTCTCGAGATGAAAAACCGATACAGAGGCCCAGCGCACACACAGACACATCGCAGCTTTTATAGGTCCGGAGATGAAAGTGCGTGACAGACGCACACACAGGCACACAGACACACGAACACACAGACAACCTCTCGTCAATATGCGTTTTTCGCATTGCATTGCTGCAAAAAATGCATAAAAATGCAGCGTTCGCCTCACTCACTATGTTCATTGTGACATCCGTTGTGCGTGACAGCTTATTACTGTTATCTCAGTGCTATATTTCTTTGGTCATATTTCGTTTGTAGTGACGATGAAGGAAGCTGTAAAGTTTGTCGACGGATATGTGACGAACTTGACGCGCCCAGTCACTGTGCAACCGACTATGAAATCATCCGTGAAGTGTGCCACGCGGTTTCTCAGCGATCTGCGGCCATCGTCGCTGCCGGTTTGCCACTCTTCCTGTGTTGCCACTCGCATTTTACAGAACACTAATTTGTAATAAAGGCCGGCAAGCACGGCACTAACGAGTTGCGCTACAGTCTTGGTGTGGATCGAAAGGTGGTACAATCAGCCCTCTACGATCGTTCATTCGTTTCGGTGGCACGTACGATCAAAACCACCATCAGTTTGCTTTTTGGGCAAATTTCAGAAGGGAATCCCGGCACATTCTCATGCTGGCAGTTATTGCCAGTCCGCTTGAACTACTTCGAGTGCTTAGGCTTTTTTCTTATAGCGTAATTCCCGAAGGATTTTTGACTCAGTCAATGCAAGTTTAACACACAAAAGTTTGATTTTTAGCAATATCGGCATTATTGCGTCATCTCAATCAAACTGACATCAAAATTGGAGTTGGCGGTGCTCTGATACAGTTCCATCCAACTTATCACGCATTACTGGAGAGCAAACTGCACGATTTGGCCCCTCTCAATATCAAGGTATAACTTCCACAAGCACTGTCATCTCTGGCAGTTGCGGGCGTTTGTATTTACGGTGTTTTCCTGTAATATTTGTTGCGGTATGTGCATATCACTTTGTACACTGCTTTTCAGTGGGAGTTGGTGCCAGCAGATGAAGGAAGCGCGAAAGGTGC